GGAGAAACATATAGACAAGGTAGCTGGCCCCGCTGTGGGTTACCAATGGCTGATTCATGGCACGCTGTCCACAAGGTTATAAATAAAGCGGCCACCACCCTGACCGGGCCTTGTGCTCGCCTTCCCGGAGCTGCACTTGCCTCCTGAGGCCAAGACACTCATTGTGACCCGTGGAGACACAATGTTTTCAGAGGAATGGGGGGGCATGGTGCCCGGCTCTCCACTCCTGCCTGCAGCCAATGGCTTATAGCATCTCCTGCCTTCTGTGACCGTCCTACAGGCACCCCACACGGAGGGCCTGCGAAGAGGTCTGGCCTATCCTTCCTTCCCCAGCATGCCTGGCACCACAGACCCATCGGGACACGCCCCACAGCCAGGAACCTGCCCCACATGGCCATGCACCCCGCCATGCCCCACTGCTGCTCTGCCTGTCTGTCCACAGGGCCTTCGTGGCCCTCAGGGCACGGGGGCGGGGGGGGGAGCTGAAGCCAGAGGTCCCGCTCCAGCTTCAGGCTACAGGCTGGGCTAGATCACGGACCCCAGTGAGCTGGCCCTGCGGGGCCCCAGCCCCCCGGGAAGAGGGAGTGGCCGGGAGCCACGCTCCCCTGGGCACGCAGAAAACCCAGTTCTTTTCTGGGGGGCTTCCCGCTAGGCCCGTGGTCGGCAAACCGCGGCTCGAGAACCACATGCGGCTCTTTGGCTCCTTGAGGGTGGCTCTTCCACAGAATACCTCAGCCTGGGCGAGTCTATGTTGAAGAAGTGGCGTTAGAAGAAGTTCAAGTTTCAAAAAGTTGGCTCTCAAAGGAAATGTCAATCGTTGTGCTGTTGATATTTGGCGCTGTGGACTCATGAGTTTGCCGACCACGGCCCTAGGTGGTCTGAGGATGGAGGTGAGAAAGACAGCCAGGCCTGGGAGAGACAGGACAGCCAGGTGGGACTGCCATGTCAGCTCCTGTGCTGTGGCCTGGGTGACCCCGGCAGCAAGGCCAGGCAGGGGGAGCGTGCAGAGCAGAGGGGCAGGAAGTTGGTGGAGCGGGCAGGGGTGGGCACGGGGTGGGGCCGAGAGCCTGCTCTGCCTAGGAAGTGAAACTCAGATAAATGGTGAGGCCCGGGGTGGAGAGCGGTTTGAGGTTGTGAAAACTGGAAACCAAGAGCCACCTGCTGCTCCAACGTTTCCCCGCCCCCCCCCCACCCACCCAGATGACTCATGAGGCCCCTGAGAAACAAGGCCCGTCTGGGACCGGCCAGCTGGACAGACTGAACAAGGGCCCAGCCCAGCCACCAGCAGGATGGCAGGGGGCGGTCCAGGAGGCCAGAGCCTGGAGAGGAGGAGAGGGGAGGGGAGGATCGGCCGAGCCTGGCCCAGCCCCAACTCCCTCCCGATCCCACAGAGGAAGCACAGCCGGCAGATGAGGCACCGGAGTGGGTGTGCCCCGAACCAGCTCCGGGAGAAAACCCAGAATCCCAGGAAGGTCTCCCTGGATCCTCATGGCCCTCCTCCCAGCGGACACGGAATTGCTAGAGACACTGTCACCACGATTTCTCAACAAGCCCTCGAGGCCTGGCCGTGTCACGATGTGTGAGCCCTCAGGTGACCTCACCTATTTCCAACCAACCAGCACACAAGCCGGCCGCCTGGTGTAGCTCAGGGGCCAGAACCACTAGGCGCCAGGTCGGCCATCCCGTGAGTGTGGCCTGTCCCTGTGTCTCACCACCTCTCACCGGCCCCCTTCTGCATTAATATGGATGCGCTCAGGGACATGCATGTCCATCTCAGGGGAGCCAGGCCTCATGGTGGAGTTCTCCACCAGGAACAGACCTTGGTCAAACACAGACACACAGGACGGCCATGGCTCCATGGAGGAAAGCGGGGACTTCCAAAGGCAGCTCAGGCCCACGGTTGTTAGTCCTCAGTCACATGGGGGGATGGAGGGTGGGGGGTAGGGGGTGCTCCTCCCCCCAGGGGCCTTTGAGTGGGACCTGCCACCATCCGTGCAGAATGACCCAACCTGACGGTCCACGAACCTGCTTTCAGACACACAAAACCAACCAGATGCACAAGGTCTCCAGCAAAAGAAACCACCTCCATCCATCCCAACCCCAGGCCCCCTGACAACTCCGAGTGCCCCCTGTAGGTGGCTCTTCACGCTCACCCAAGCCCCCTTGTCCCAAGAGAGCCAGTGTCCCCCACGAGGCCAGCGGACAGACGCCCGCCTCCCTCCCCTACAACAGACGCGTGTACAGAAGACCCAGCCCCTTCTCGGACCGTCTCCCCTCGAGATGCAACGTCTCGACTCCCTCGACAAGCTTTCCTTCCCAAGTGGTGAAGGCCCCATCCCGTTCCGGAGCCAGAGAGAGGCAGCAGGAAGAAGACTCCCTTTTCCTCTCATCAGTGCCATGGTCATGAAGAGCAACAACACGCCCAGGGTATGGAGCAGGCACGGAACGGAGCGCCCCACCTGGTCTCAACCCACGCTGACGAAGCCACATGGCCTGTCCAACATCACACCACTAGGAGTGGCACTCAGCCTGGTCTTTCAAACAACCCTCCTCACCCACAGGAGGGGGGGAGGGCCTACCTCCCCCACCCCTGGGCCCACCAGGCCTGACAGAGGACACGCCCAGCCTGTCCCCGTTTCATAATGACTCCATGTGCAGGCAGACAGACGGAGGGACGGATGCATGAGGGATGCTGCTCATAACCAGCACCTCCCCACCCCCAGGTGCACAGGAAGTGGCCGCTCCACCAGCGGAGGCGAGCAAGGCCTTCCCAGTTGCCGCCTGCTCTGTGCTGCCATCAACCAACCAGGGGGTCCCCGTCTTTGAAAGGGGACAGCCCGGCCCCTTGGGCCCCGTCGTCACCCCAGAGCCTGCTCTCCCTGGCACTGGGAAGCCCCTCTCCCGGAACACTCGGCGGGCATGGCACCTGCTCCCAGCCCCTGACGGAGAGCCACCCCTCTCCCCCATTGCATCAAAAAACAAATATGCACCCACAGATCCCTCCGCGAGCTGTCACTAGGAAGAGCTGGCCCTGGGGGTCAGTGAAGAGGAGGGGCTGTCTTCCCCTCACCCCCAGCACTTGGGCCTTCCTCCGTTTCCCAGCAGGGGTTCCGGGCCCCAGGGGGTGACTGGAGAGAGCCAGGGCTGTGCTGAGGTGGCTGCTGAGCCTGCAGGGAGGTGGGGGGAGGGGGGTGCAGCCCCCTCCCCCTGCCACCAGAAGGGAAGGCGGCGGCGAGCAGAAGGACCTGCAGACTCCGAGCCTCATTACCGGGAATGACTAAGTGACTGCGATTCCGGGGGAAACCCCGCTCGCTCGCTTCTGCGCGCTGAGGGCTCCAAACCCTCGCGTGTGTGGCTAGATGGAGGCAGCTTCCAGGAGCTGCTCCGCGGGAGCCCCTGCGAGCGAGCGGCCAGGTTCCGGGGAACCCTCCACCTGGGCGTCTCAGCCCTGGCTCTGCCCCAGCCCTTTCCAGCACAGCCGGCCGGCCGCCCGGCCCCGTGCGGGCTCCAGGCTGGGAATGGGGAAATCCGATCAGCACCTCCCAGGTTTTAGCGGCTGGATTTCAGCGAGGAATGTGACAGTCTCGCAGCAGCTGTGCCCCGCCTGAATCAAGCTCTATTTGAAACCTCCAACAGCTGAGCCCCTCCCAGCTCCAGGCAGCCTGCCCAGCCACCCCCTGCCCAAAATGACAAATAAGTGAGAAATGCGGCAACCGGGAGGCGCATGCACACACACACACACACACACACACACACACACACATGCACACCAACAAACTGGGGGTGAGGGATGCATGGGAAAAACCCACTTGCCTCGCCACTCCCCAGGTCTCCAAGCCTCTGAGCCCCCAGCAGGCAGAGCACGCACGAATCCACCTTCCTCAACGCCCACCGCCTCGGAGGCCGCGGTTTCCAAGCCCCCCCCCCCCCCCCTGGGAGGGTGCCCTATTCTCCATCTCCAGCCGGATGAGGCTGGAGCAGCGGGGGCCAGCTCCCCACTCCAGTGGGCGCTGCCGGCCCCATCCGCAGGCACTCACACACACACTCACCCTCATTTACCAAGAGGAGCGGGGGGGGGGGGGGGGGGGCGGGGGACCGGGGCTGCGGGAGGAGCAGAGCGGGTGCTTGGAGATGCCCGGGAAGCCTTGTCATCCCGTCAGAAAGAGGCGCTCCCCCCTCCCTTCCTCCCCCCACCAGCCTGGTGCCAAGGCGGTGCCCATCTGCTCTGCCCGGGGAACACCTGTAGCCATTTTACCAGGGGCTGTTCATAAGCAGCAGCAGGTTTATTCTGAGTCCTCTCTCCTGGGGGAAGAGCCGCTCGTTCCCTCCACCTGTATTTTTATCCCAGGCCCCCGGCGGGGAGGAGACGAGACCGGCCACCCGGTGCCTTTGGATTTGGCCCGGAGTCTCTCAGGGATGGGGAGGGAGATAGAAACTTGGGGGGAGAGAGAGAGAAAGAGAGAGAGAGAGAGAGAGCAGACACACACAGAGAGAAGGGACGGGCAGGGCATCCCTACCCCCCACCCAGACATTTATTTCTCTTTTATCCTCGGGAAAATGGAGCGGAGCGGGGAGTGGAGGAGAGGAGGGAAGTCGCAGGAACCAAGGCGGAGAGTAATTAATTGGTGCGTTAAGCTGCCGGGATATGCGTTAGTGACCATGAGCCGGGCGGGGCGGTGGGAGGTGGAGGGGGGGGGGCACGGGGCAGGGAGCAGGGAGGGTGATTTCTCAGAAGGGTTTCTTTAATCCTCCCCAACACCCGAGTCTGCAAATGAGAACACCGTGCACGGAGGTGTCCTCCCACCGAGAAAACCGCCGATGGATTCTCCCAGGATTAAGCAGCAAAACCACGGGAAGTTAGTGTTCCATAGAATGGAGCTACCCGCCTCTCCCCACCACCACCACCACCTCTCCCCCCAGCCAACCTCTCCATCACTCTCGCTATAGAGACCTATAGGTTTCCTTTTGTGCTAGGTATAAAGAGAAGCCGCAGCCCCTACCTTTGAGTACAAACCCCAAGAGAGCTCGGTCTCTATCACCATAACAACAATTCCAAACATCCCAAAAATCAGAGCATAGTCACTCAGCCGCTTTCTCTTTTCAAACAGGGCCCTCCTGTGTCCCAGCTTATAGCCAATGTTTTGGTTTTTCCGCTTGTTGGCTTTGGGGAAGGTGGTGCCGCTGGGGGCGGTGCCGGCGTGCTGGTGGTTCTGGGTGGCATTGGGGTGGTGGAGCAGGGTCTGGTGGGCATGGTTGTCCTCCCGGGAGGAGATGACGATCTCCGGAGGGTTGCCAGGGCCGAAGAGCTGGAGGGGCTGGCCCTCGGGCTCGGCCTCGATGAGGTTCCTCCGGGAGGCGCTGAGGCGGCTGAGGGGCTTCATGACCCCGCCGCTGTACTTGCATGAGCTCATGGCGATCTCGGTGAAGGGGTTGCTGTCCCGCCGGTGCACCAGGGGGCTGGCCTGCCGGTGCCGGCCGCCTCCACCGGGCCCACTTGTGGCTGTGGAACTTGGAGAGTGGCCAAGCAAGTGGTCACTGAGGTTGAGCTGGCTGCCTTGCCTGGAGGAAGGGTGGAGGGTGGCGGTGGAGTTGGACAAAGGGGGGGCCCTGAGGGCGGTGGGAGAGGAGTGGAGCAGGCCGGGGTGCACGGGCTGGCTCTGGAGTTGGGCGAGCTGAGACAGGGGATGCGGCGGCTGCTGCTGCTGCTGCTGCTGCTGCTGCTGCTGCTGCTGCAGAGGCTGAGGCTGCAACAGGGGTCCCGGGGGGTGCTGGGGGGCTGCTGGTGCTGCCGGCGCTGGTGGCGGCTGCGGCGGCGGCTGCTGCTGCTGCTGCTCATCCCCGGAGGATGGACAGGGGCACTTGGGGTCTTCATCCAAGTCCCCCACCCCCGAGTCATGGAAGTGCCCGGAAGTGTCCATCTTGGGGCCTGGCTGGATTCCCTGCAGCACCACCCCCCACCCCAAAGCCACCGTTGCTCCAGAGATGTCCTCACAGAGTGCCAGGCATCCAGCACTCCCACCAGAGTGTCTTGGCTCCCGTCCTCCTCCCAGTGGTGGCTCGCTCCGGCTCTCTGGGGCTGCTAGGAGTCCAGGCGCTGCCGGTCAAGAATGCATTGTACTGGGCAGGCAGGGAGGGCAGCGGGGCGCTGGCAGAGGGCAGGCGAGGGGGAACGGACTCTGCCCCGGAGGTGGTCCTCTGGAAGCATGCGAGGCCAGGCTCAGCTTCACTCCTCCTCGCTGGCTCAATAGCTTTGCTCTCCTCCTCCTGCCGCTGTTAAAGGGGAAGCCCCGCCCACCTATTAGCGGACGGGCTCATTGGCTTGGCTTCCCTCTCCCACCACCTCCTGGCCCCGCCCCCGCGCACGCCCCTCCCAGGGGGCGGGGCCTGCGCCCTCCGCTCCCGGCCCCGCGGCAGCCGCACCGGGCGGCTGGGAACTGTAGTCTGCGCTCCTCTCTCCGCCGCCGGGTCGGGAGCCGCCGTCCCCTTTCCTCCCACAGGTAGAACCCGGGGCCCCGGGACAGTGTACGGGCAGTGGGAAGGAGGAGCAGAGAGCCTCCTACCCGGGGTGGTGGGGGGGTGAGGGGGGCCGTGCACCCCGTTTCGCGGGCAGGAAGCAGGGAAGACAGACCGTTATCAGCGGCCAGGATGCACTAAAGGTTGTCTCACACATACTGTCCGATTGCACCCTCCCAACACCCTCGGATGTGAGCATTGTCACACGGGATGCTCAAAGACGTCGAGTGACAGCTACGAGGTCAGAGCAGAGGGGCCCTAGCCGGTGTGGCTCAGTGGGTAGAGTATCAGCCTAAGACTCGAGGGTCCCAGGTTCGATTCCGGTCAGGGGCACGTACCTTGGTTGCGGGCACATCCCCAGTAGGGGGTGTGCAGGAGGCAGTGATTGATGTTTCTAACTCTTTATCCCTCTCCTTTCCTCTCTGTAAAAAAAAAAATCAATAATATATATATATATATATATATATATATATATATATATATATATATATATATATATATATATATGAAAAAGAATCAGAAGGGCCCTGACTGGTGTGGCTCAGTGGATAGAGCGTCAGCCTAAGACTCTGGTGTCCCAGGTCCGATTCAGGTTAGGGGCACTTACAGCTGCTGGAGACTGCTGCTGGGTGTTTCTCTCTCATCGTGGATATTTCTGACTCTATCCCTCTCCCTTCCTCTCTGTATAAAAAAAAAAAATCAATAAAATATATTTTAGCAAAAGAAAGGAAAGCAGAGGGGACTCAGGCCCTCCTGACTCCGGGTGGATGAGCTCACCTGCGGAACCCCTGCAGGAGGTGTGCGCGTGCCCCCGCTATTTCTAACCCTCACATCAACGCTAGGAAACTATTGTTCTCTTTTTGCAGACAAAAGCTGTGGAAAACAACACAGAAAATCACTCATGTCACCAGCTTGTAATTAAGGGTGCTCTGCCTTGAACTCTGGTCAGTCTGCCCCTGCACCTCCTACACCATCTCCCAGGCTGCCTTCTCGCCATGGTGCTCAGCACAGGGGCTGCTCCGTGAATGTTGTCCAGATGATGGGTGGACAGGAGCCGAGGAGAGCGGTGCAGGAGGAGCCGGACGCCCCGAGGCAGGATGTGTGAAGCAGACCCCTGCTCCAGCGGGGTATGGAGTCACCAGAGGGCCTGGCAGGAAGACTGAAGACCCCCACGGTCACACCCCCACGGATCTGCCCCATGGGGCTCTGAGTCAGAGTCAGGAACAGCTGCTAGCTTCCCAGGTGCAGAGCCATCATCAAGTATTTATTAAGCTCCCACTGTGTGCAAGGGAGCTTGAAAGAGCTGAAAATTCGTTTTCATTTCTATCTGCAGCTTCTCCATCTCCCCCAATCCTCTGGCCAGCTGCTCCCTGGGTAGGAAAGGGGAAGAGTGGGAGCCATGCACACACACATACGTGCACACACACAGAGATACATGCATGCAGGAACATGCATGCACATAGGTGTGCATACACTGGCCCTCAAATATGCATTGGCCCACATACGTGGACATGCAGACACTCAGCGAGCTTCTAAAACAGCTCCCCTGAGTGGTGAGCAGCAAATGGCCAGATCAGGAAGGGGTAGAGCTCCCCTCAAACCAGCCCGTAGTACCCTCGGCATACCAGTCCTCACCTCCTCAACCCCTTATCCGCCCTGATGACCGAGGGGTAAATATTACAGACGCACAACTCCAGAAACCTGGATGATTGCAATAACTCACACATAATAATCTTGGTTGCTGATATTATTATCAATGACATCATTCCTTCTCTCACGACAAGTCACAGTGCTGGGACTTAGACACAAGCCTGGGGTCCCATGTATTTTCCAATGAACGTATTACACGCCCCCCCAACACACACACACACACACACACACACACACACACACACACACACCCCTTCTAGCATGCCCTGCCTTTCCTCCCCTCCCCTTCCACCTTCTTGGTTTCCCTCCCTCCGTTCCCGAACAGAGTCAGCTGTTTGGTTTCACTGCTCCTTATCACCAGTAGGCTTCATGATTCCTTAATACATTCTGGCTACTCTGTTGTGAAGAGCAGGCACGGGCTGTCAGTATTGGTTCTCAGTGCCAGGGCAGCATCTGGGCTGGGACAGGCTGTGCCCACTCCACCGCCATAACCTGCCTCAGCCTCCACTGGCCTTGCCCGGCCAGACTCTGCCTCCAGGTTTCCTGGCTGTGCCCGCTGATCCCAGCGGGAATGTTAGAGCAAGTCCCGTGATTGGGGATGAGAAACAGCTGGGGGTGGAGGGAGCGGGAGCAAACCACGCCTGAGCCAGAGATCAACCGGAGACTCACCTGGACACGGGCGGGAGCTTGGCCCCTGGTCACAGCCGCCCATGGGAGTGGGGAGAGAACAACATCACGGTCAGAACGTGGGCTCTAGAGTCAGACCCACGCGGGAGCCCCTCTCGGCTACGCAATAGCTGTGTGGCCACAGGCAGGATCCTCAGCTTCCCACTCTGTGAAATGGGAGCATGAGGGTCCCTACCTCAAGGGGTCTGGGAGGGTTTTAGAAGCATGCCAGGGTGCGTGGACATCAAGGTACATGATGACCTTGAAGCCCTCAGTGGTGTGCTGGAGCTGGCTGGTACTGGCTCACAAAAGCCAACTGCACACGTCTCTTCCAAGTCCCAGATCCATTGCTGTTACAACGACAGCTCGGAATCAGTGACGGTGGGAGTGTTTACACCACAGGCATTGGCAGACACTTCACAGCAGGGTTGGCCTTTCCTGGCGAGCCAGTGGTTAAACACTCAGTGGCTGTTAAACATTTACCCCACACTGCTGCCTCTTATCCCATGTTATCAGCCCCGAAATGTGCGCTCCGTCCTCCTCTGACCACCTGCAGAGCACTTCCTCTCCTCCCTCCCTCCCTCTCATGAGCACAACAAGCTTTGCCATGTGTTTGCCCTGTGACCTTGGGCCAATTGCTCAATCTCTCAGGATTTTAACTTCCTCAGCTCCTATGGATTAGCACAAACCAGGTACTTGGTTGCTGTGAAGTGCTTAATGGGTTAGCACAGGGCTCGGCAAACTGCGGTTCTCGAGCCACCTGCGGCTCTTTGGCCCCTTGAGTGTTTAGCAAAGGCCAGCGGAGGAGTACCCTAATTAAGTTCATAGCAATGTACCTACCTATATAGTTTAAGTTTAAAAAATGCGGCTCTCAAAAGAAATGGCAGTCGTTGTCCTGTCGATATTTGGCTTTGCTGACTAATGAGTTTGCCGACCACTGGGTTAGTAAATCAACTGGAGCCACTCAGCCGCAGGGCCTGATCATGTCAGCTTTTCCATCCCCCCTCTCCCTCCATCCCCCTCCTCCCCCGCTGCTCTCACGTCTCTGCCCACTTTGGCTGCAGGTCCAGTCCTCACTGTTGGGAAGCCCCCAAGGTTCTCCCTAGCCCCTAGCTAAAACCATGGCTCCAAAACACCAATGAGCTGAAACCGGCTTGGCTCAGTGGATAGACCGTTGGTCTGCAGACTGAAAGGTCCCAGGTTCGATTCTAGTCAAGGCATGTACATTGGTTGCGGGCACATTTCCAGTGGGGAGTGTGCAGGAGGCAGCTGATCAATGTTTCTCATCAATGTTTCTGACTTTCTATCCCTCTCCCTTCTTCTCTATAAAAAAATCAATTAAAAATATATATATATTGGATTGCCCAATTGAAAAAAAAAAACTAACGAGTTGGAGTTATCACCCATTTTGTAGATGAGGGAACTGAGACATTAGACAGATTAAAAACTTCCCCACAGGTACTAACTAGTAACTAGTGGCATAGAAAGACTCAAACCCAGATCTGTCTGACCCCCCGGCCCAAGCACTTTTCTGAAATACAGATCAATAGGATTCAGACTTAGTAACATGGGACTCACACAGCCAGCCCTCCTGGATGATAAAGAAGCACAGCAGAGAGTCCCGAGGTGTGGTGTAGACAATCGAGGTCATCGAATGCAGAGGGGAGGTGATGAAGGCTCTGGAGGCGGTGGGATTGGAGCCACACCTTGAAGGATGGGCTCCTCCTTCCCAGGAATCAGGCCACTTCCCTCTGAAAAGACGAAGGTTTAGGGGGTGTGGTGGGGTTCTCAGCTCGGAGAGTAGAGGGAAGGTGAATGAGGGCTCTCACCAAACCCAGGAAAGCGGAGACAGCCTTCGGCCATCCCAGCTCCATCTCAGCCCGCATGGCCCTGCCCTCCTTTCCACACTCACCCCTCACCACGTCCTTCTTGAAGCTCCAAAAACACCAGCTTCTTATGGTTCCTCTGATAAACCATGCTACCTCAGACCTCCATGCTTTTGCTCATGCTGTTCCTCTGCCTGGCAAGCCCTTCCCCTACATCTTCACCGACACATTCCTTTTCTGCCTTCAAGATATATCTCGTGGGC